ACTTCGTAAGGGAAGAAGCAAGTAGTCGAAGTGTAACGAGTGCTGTGCTCTATCCCTCGAGGGGCAGAGATGCTGGGCGGCTCATGGTGCTGACTGTGGAGGGCAGAGAACAGCACTGCTCCTGCCCACAGGGCCTGCTGGGCAGGAGGAGGGCAGTGCAGACCGGATGCTGGGGTCCTGGCTTCTCCAGCTTGCAGGCGGATCTCTGTGCCTCCGGCTGCTCAGAGTGTAGCATGGGCCCCTGCATAGCCAGGGGTGCCGGTGTCTTGGGGATGGGTGCACCCGGTGCTGCCGGAGGGGGCATCCACGTCCTGCCCCACACCAGGGCCTCCCCTCCTCTCGTGCTGGGAGCGCTCTGCTCTCTGTCTCTGCTTCTCCCGCCCAGTCGCTTCCCCACAAGTGCACACAGGTGGACCAGGAGGTGGGCGTGGAGTGCTATTTTAAGTTTTATTTATTGTATATGTTTGCAGTACATAATAATGAAATGTACTTGGGGAGATTTGTGTATATCAGCCCGATGATCATTGTTACACTTTCTGCCCTTCCCTGTACCCTACCCTTCCCTGTCTGAGAAAACCATCTTCTCCACTTGATCTTAGCCGAAAGACCGAGAAGTGGTAGAGAAAACCATCTTTACCCTGCCATCGCTCTTCTTTGAACTCTTTAATCTACTTATGTTTTGAGTTTCTCCTATCAGAGCAACCATGGTATAAATTAACCTGCTCTGACTTCTTTCACTCAACATCATGGTCTCAAGTTCCACCCATTTTCTTCCAAATGCCTCCAATTCACTCTTCTTAATGGCTGAATAGTACTCCATTCTAACTATGCCCCGGTGCCTTTATCCACTCAACTCTTGTTAGGCATCTTGGTTGCACAGTGCTATGGCTGTGTGTGTGTGTGTGTGTGTGTGTATGTGTATGAGCGTTTTATGTATGTCATTTCCAAAGAGTATTGGCCCACAGAACACTTGCTTGAACACTTTTTTGCCAACTCTTTGAACACACATGTAAGCAGTCTACATGTCAGCATTCTACCTTGATTTGTTTTGTATTTATACTTAATTAAGGATAATTTCATTTCTCCAAATTTTTTTCTAATTAAGAATCAAAGCAATATTTTTTTAAAAAAAAAAACTTGATTCTAATGACTAGGCAGTAAATAAAAGAAAATCCCACCATAAATCAATTAAAATTGCATCTTAAATTCTGGCAAAAGTGCAATGATATCATGTTTTCTTTCTCAGTAAGAGTGCAGTCTGGAGGACAGTCAAGTACTTTGTATGTTGTGATGGAATACAGTTCTATTTGGAATCCTCAGTTTGTGACAGTTGTTTTAAAATAAGAGAATACATAATCTCAGTGACTCTTTACTTTAAAGGCTTCAGTGGTACATTAGGAAAAGTCTTCTTTGTGATGTGACATTAGCAACCCTGTACTTTGATACAAATGGTCAATGTCATTTCTGCTTTTAATGGCTTCTAGACATTAAGAAATTGAATATGGATGATGAAAAGACAATACTTTGGGGAACATCTGTTCCATAAGTGGAGATTAGAAAGATGTATTTAGAAGTGAGTTCTGGAGTCCAACAAACGAAGAGACCTTTGTGCCTCTGCACAGCATTCATCTACTAATCAAAACATGAAGTTTCAAACCAAGTGCTATGATGCACATCTTTAATTCCAACACTTGAGAGGCCAAGGAAGGAGGATAACCACAGGCCCATGGCTGTCCTGGGCTACACAGATTGTCCAAGCCCAGTGCAAACTATGTAGCAAGAGAATTCTTCAATTCTCTGAAGTCTATAGTTCATTGTTTCACTGCGTAGGGTTAACCGTGTATAACTACATGACTGATAGATAACTGAAAATGTTCAATGGAAAACTAAAATGTCACCTAGAATCTGCATTCCTTTGCAAAGAGTGAGGAAAATGTGCAGTTAGTATTTTAGCGTCAAACCCATAACAAAATTACAGGTGACGCTATGACATTGAACAAAATTTCCCACAAGCGAAGGCGTAGAACTAGGTCATGGCCAGGTGCCCACAGCCCCTCAGTCTCTATGCAGGCAGAGCTGTGGCCCTGACCTAGTGCCTCAGTCCCGGGCCATGGCTCGTGTGGCCAAGGGTCCCACCTCCGTGTCTGAGGGACAATCACTGCTCCACGCTGACTCCAGAAATCCCCTCAGATTTCACAAAGAGCTCAGAGATCGCTCTCACATTTCATGGTTCTTAACCAGTGCCTTCATATTAGAGCCGCAGTGAGTATTAAGAAACCCAGTTTTGGGGCCACCATGCATTCCATTATTTAACTCAGTCACTGGCTTGAAGGAAAAACTAGAATCCTGTGATGGTCTCTGCACCCTGCCATGCTCATTACTTAGGACAGAGTTCAATGTCTCCCTTTGATTTTTGCTATAGGATCAAAAACAATAAAAATATTGCTCTGAACAAAGCTATAAATATTTTCCCCAAATTTATTTTTGAAATATGGTGAAATATTATGGCTGATTACCAAAAACAGGAAAAACAGAATCTGACATATTGAAATGATCCAAAGAAATATAAATCTAGACTGGACATCAAATAAAATAAGTCAAGGAGTAAGATTGGGAATACGTGTTTGCTAATGTTTTCTGTCCAGTGATATAAAGTTGTCCTTTGCAAAATCACTATTGTACTCAAGAATCCATGGGAGAAGCATTCACGCTTTACAAGATAAAAACTTCTTGAAATTCATTGCATAATGTAAATATACTTCAGCTTACTAAATTGTACACTTAACATGCTTAAGATGGCGAATTTTGTTTTGCATGTATTTCACTATAATTCAAAATAATAATCTACTCAAGTAAGAAAAAAGTGAGATGACATCCTTAGTTTACATGCTTAAATGTAAGCAAGGGCACCATAAATTCTAAATGGTATTTTTAAAGGAAATAAGAATAACTTGTCCAGTAGTTTTCTACTACCTATTGAAAACAAATAAACAAATGAACAAAAAAACCTTAAAGAAATCTGCAGAACTTTCAAATTTCCTGCCAGTTGTGTACATTCAGGATCCTGAGTCCTTAACTGACCCTTGTGTATTGATGGAGTGTGATCCATCATTTTTGTGTCTGTTTACTAACTTATGTTATTTACTTGTTTTAAATTATTAATCCCTGTATAAGCCAGGCGTGGTGCCAGAGGCCTACTGTCTCAGCACTTGTGAATCTGAGAGGAGGATTGACTCCAAACCCCAAAACCAAACCAAATGAAACGAAACAAAAACCTGAAAGCGCACCGTCCAGAACGAATGTGTGCTAAATAACCTGTTTCTTATCATCCACTTATCCCTCCTCACCTGGTATACCTGCTTTTCTTCTGAATTGACCTACATATGCTTCTGAAATGTATAGACTTGGTTTTAGATGTTTTTACTTTCATCTAAGGGATTCAAGTTATTTGTACTTTGGAGGGATTATTTTGTTGTTGCTTTGTTTTGTTTCGCCTAATGTTGAATCACTCAGAGGCACCCACCCTGCCTGCAATTCATTGTTGTGGTTCCTTGATATTTGGGAACTGGCTCCTGTTTAAATGGCATGAAGGTACAAGCACAGTGGATGGTCATTTCTGAACAAATGCAGTAACCTTTAGAGACACTCCTGTGCCACTGCCTGTGTGTCTTGCTGTAAGCCGTGGATGCTGCCATGTCCTCCAGACAAACAAGCTCCTTCACTTAAATACCGCCATCATTTCATTGCATCTGCCTCTGAGGGGAGTTTGCAGCCCTATTCTCTATTCTTATTTTTTGTACTGGGGATCGAATTCAGGACCTTGCAATTGCAAAGCAGGTGGCAGAACCATCGAGTGAAATCCCCGGTCCTCTATTCTCTATTCTTGATGCAGAGACATAAAAGCCCAGAATCTCACCATAAAGAAAACATGTTAACACTGGTGACTTCTAAACCCTGTGTTTATTTCAGGTTTAAGGAGCCTTTTGCAGTGTTTGCCGCAGGGTGTGTTTTTCTTTACCTATTAAAAACTTTTCTGCTCACATTGGTGAGAAATGTAACAAAAGTCTGCCCACGAATGGGGAGGATGTGTTGTGAGCCACCAGAGCTGGCTTTGCCTCTCTCTTCCTGCCTGCGGCTGACAGACAGCCTTTCTTTCTCTAAGCTGATAAGTACAACGGCTTAAACTTTTCTTTGCAAGTCTTCCTGCCAGAATTCTGAAACTGCAAAAACAACAACAGCAAACTCTTTGTGATAAATTCAAGATTGTTAAGCATAATTAAAAGCTACCAGCTGAGGCGGTCGCTGCCCTGGACCTCAGCTGTTGTCCCAGAAACTTTTATGGTACAGTAGTCTGTGGCTCCCAGAGTAGGAGGCTGAATCGGTCAGGTGTCAGCTGTGCCAGCAGTAGTTATGGCAGTGGATCTGCAATTTCATTCAGGACTAAGTTTTCTGACCAGAAAATGAGGAGAATAAATATCGCTACCCAAGGGTCATAGAAGAATTTAAATAAGATAGTGTCTCTGAAATATTCAACTAAGGGACAGGCAGGCCTGACTCCAAGCTGGTTTAATTCTCTCAATGAGTTCCCAGGGAGCCTGGTGGGTGAAGCCTGCCCATGGTGCAGCACAGCCATCTCCAGACCCCTGCAGGGGCTGGCGTGCACACCCTCCTGAAGGACACATGGAGCAGGGCGTGCTGCCTGTCCTGAGACAGAGGCTGCCTGGACTTCTCTTTCCACCACCTTGGGCATTTAATGCCTTGTGACTGCGATGTGGATGTGGCTGTACACATTCATAGAAAGGGGATTAATGGGGAAAATGATGGTTGGTCCAACACTTTCTCCTTTTAGAGACTTTTCAGGCTGGCTTTGGAAAATATATAAATTTCAGGATTCTCACATGGCTCCTATCCTGGTGGGATCGGTCCCTTCTCTATCCAGAGTGACAGAGTGGCCGTGTGTGTGGTGTTTGTATTCTTATATACTTCATAATGTTTTACAGATCTACTGGCCTGCTGCAAAGGAACGTGTGGAATTATGCAGATTGGCTGGGAAAGATGCCAATGTAAGTATGAAACTTCGGAATTGTATTTGGTAAACCTCTCTGATACGATACTAAATATTTATGTTCATTTTTTATCTAATTAGTGACATTAATGTATTATTTTAAGACTAACAGTCTCTAAAAAGTAATGTGGTGTAAATATTTCTACCTTGCCAAAAGCACGAACAATATCCTCTAAAATCCAGAAATTAGAAAAAGAAAAACTATGCTTTCTAGTATTTCAATTCTGAATATTATTATTCGCAATACATATATTTGGTAAGTGTACATAAAACTATCAGAAGCACAGAATTAATATTTAATTTCATTTGAGTTGAAATCAAAGTCACAACGCAGAGCAGACCCTGTGTGTGTGTGTGTGTGTGTGTGTGTGTGTGTGCATGCGCGCTGGGTGCTGACCCAGGGCTGCAGGCCTGCCGAGCCTGTGCTCCCGCAGAGCCGCTCCCCAGACCCAGAAGACTTCTGTTACAGAGAAAAGGAATTGCTGGGCCTGGACTGCAGACCTCGAGCGAACTGGATGCCAATGACAGGAAACTATTCAGGAGAGAGAGGCGCGCGGCCTCCATGACGTTGCAGTGCACACTCGGTCTGGCCAGGCGGCGCGGGATCTTGCTGCCGTCCTCCTGCCTGGCTGCCCTCGTGTTCCCCATTCTGCCTGCCTGGAGGACGCTGTGCCCCTGCTGCCTCCTCCCCTCTGCTGAGAGCTCCGCTCAGCCCCATGCTGTGCTGGGCCCTGACGTCCCGCCCGATGCTGAGAGGGACACGAGCGCTCTTAGGGGAGACACATCACGTCCGAATCGAGCTGAAGGTGAAGAGTTGCTGACCACGCGCAGAAAGGTGGACGTCTTGAGGCTGCTTTGCTTCACCCTCCGAGGCCTCGTGAACCACAGTGGCAGAGGCGTGTGGGGCTCAGCGGGGCTGAGCAGGGCTTCACATTCAGTAGTGACAGCGCGAAGGGGTAGTTAGGCTACAGTCACCACTGAGAGGGAAGCGTAGGTGTCACGTGGCGTCTAATCAGCTGACGAGAAGGCGAAACGGCAGGAATCTGAGGCAAGTCATTTCATTCACTGTTCAGAGTTGTTCAAAGCATTTTAAATGGAAATAAATATTTTAAACCACCTAAGTACGTGCACAAAGGCACGTGTGAGACAAATCCACATCTATCTTCGTGACCTTCAGTGAACGGGATCATCATGGCTCAGGGGTGACTTGCAGGGCTAACAGTACTAGGGGACGGAATACCCAACCCCAAACAGAGTAGACCCGTGTTGACACCCGGGTTTGTGACACCCTGTGGCCCCGTAGTTCCATTCACATTTGCAGAAATAGCCAGGGAGAAGCAGCTGCTTTGGAGACCGTCTGCCCTTTCCTTTCACTGGTAAAGAGAGAATTAACCTCTGTGAGGATAGATTCTTCTTCCTCTGACTTGAAAAGCTTCAGCTCTTGTTGTGTCCACTCTGCATGAGGAATCAGGCCTACAAAGGCATCGGGCGTTTACGGCACCCACGAGGCTTGGGTTATGAGAGTGTTCAGCATTATGCTGCCTGGTGACCAGCAGAAGTGCAGCGTAACCAGTGAGCGCATCATCATGTTTTTTTCTCAGCACTACTGCGGGATGAAGAGGCCAGTGGGGAAAGGATGCTGTCCCTGATGTCAGTTTTCCCACGGTTAGTTGAGGGACAAACACCAGAGGTCATGTAATCAGTGAAGTTTTAAAATGTGCCAGTGCTGTGCTGTAGCACGCTCACTAAACCCGGTTACATAGTAACTCAGCTGCCCTTGCACTGAATTAGAGCAAAGTGTGGTGTGTGCTTGCAGGAGGCTGTACCCGTGCAGCAAATACCCTCACCCGGTTCTGCCCTGCTTGGAAACCAGTACTAAGCGCAGCTACTGCCGCCCCAAGACCGAGTCATGAAGAGCTTCCCTTCTTCGCTCACATTTGCGGAGCTGGGCATAAATCACACAAACAGTCTTTGTGTCTTCCTTTTCACTTTGCAACTTTGAAATGGAGCTATATTTTAGAGCTACTGGTGATGGCCACTGCTTCTGTAGCACTCACCACTGTAAGAAACTGTGACTTCTCTTAACCCTTGCAACAACTCTGGATGCTATGTTTCATCACGATTCCCTGTCCTCTGGGTCACACGTACGGAGCCAGAACTATCCTCCTATGTAGCCCCGTCAAATCCACACATCCAGCCGCAGTGCAGCAGCCCCCGGTGATCTCCCTCTTTGATGCCACCGCAGTGTGGATTCTCCTTCTGAACAGCACTGTGTAGAATTTGACCGGTAGGAACCTGAGACAAGTCTGTGGGGAAGGCAGCTTTTATTACTTTCGGCTTTCTTGCTCTCCTTCCTCCTTGCCAGTAATTTTTACCTACTTTCCCAGAGCGTGTTTAGGATTGTCGCATGTCCCAGAACAGTGGACTAGTTTCCGTGGTGAACACTAGCTGATTGGAGTGGGAGGGAAGGAAAACTGCTTCACCTTCCTGAACAGGGCCCAGCAGTTTTTCCTTTACCTCAAGGAAGGGAAGGGATGAGAAGATGTTGGGTAGAGTCGCCTTCGTGTTTAGAAGGTGAGTACCTTGTGACACTTCCAACCAGAGTCACTAAGAAATGTCCTCAGTCTTCACTACAGGGAAGCACACGTAAAGAGAGCACAGGCTTTGGGCAGCGGACACATCACAAAGGGTCTGGATGAATTTTGCTTCAAAATTCTATGATTATTTTCTTTCCTTTAACATTTGAAGGAAGCCTAGAAGCCAGTATTGTTGTAGAACATTTGTAAATTATAAAGAAAGAGACGGAGTCACTGGGAAATATCTCCTGCCTAGCCCTAGCAACTACTCTCAATAACCCTACTCTCAGGTCCCTGGTGACACTGTGGTGATTATTCTCTTGCCTTACCCATTCCTTACCCATTCCATTGTATACATATTTGTCAGAGCATTTATTTTACTTTGTAGAAGTCATGCACATTTCCCCATGTCACTAAATTCCTTACCCTGATGCAGCTTTCCATAACCACACTGCAAGTTCCTCCACTGCCGCTCTTGGAAGACGCCTGGGACACCCCCAGGCTTTGCTGTCGCACAGGGTGTTGTGCGTGAAAAGCCCTATGCATACGTATCGTGAGGACCTTTGCCTGTGGAGCAGGCTTCCACTTGTTAAGGACATATAATTTTTATACACATATTGCTAAATTGCCCTCCAAAAAATTTATGTTGCATACATTCTAGCCAGCACTGCCTGATTACAAGACAGTGATTCCCTAGACCCCCGCTAATATTGGATACAACACACAGAGAAAATTTATTATGAATGCATAGCAATGAATAGAATACTTCAATCTTTGCCAAATAATGAGAAGATATTTTTGCTGTTTAGCTTGAAATTCTTTCACTATAAATACTAAATAATGTACATAATTATAAAATCAGTATTTTAGTGGTATATTGCTGCCATTTGTTTAATTTTATTCTAGTATATTTTCTTATTGATTACTTACAGATTTATAAAACACATATATATAAGTCTATATTTTATATTGGGTTGTATGTGTATAGTTAAAAACAGGATGTGTAAATGTGCTATAAAGTACTCAAGGGATTTAGCCCAGTGGTTCTGCTGCCTGCCTCACAAGCACAAGGTCCCGAGTTTGATCCCTGGTACAAAAATATATATACACATATATATTATTAAGCTGGGTTCCACCAATGGAAAAACATTCATCAGTTATCCTATTTTAGATACACACTTTTAAATATTTAAATAGGAATGTGTCCTAAACTTCACCTTTAAAGATGTTTTCTTTTGCTCTTTTACCACAACTGTTTATTGCTCTGTAGAAATCTACACTGTTAAATCACCCCTTTTTAAGATAAATGTGATATTTGAATTTTTATGTATTTATTTTGAATTGTTAGCTATTTATTAAAATATGTTTAATATCCTAAGACCTAAATAGCTGTTCTCCACACAGGATTTTGTCTGACAACTGCATCTGGTTAATGATCAAAAAAGGTTTGATGATTATTATAATATTTTGTAAAACATATTAAAAATGAAAACAGATCTCAGGGGCTGAGTGTGGCCTTGTGGTAGCACTTGCCTAGCAGGACTGAACCCTAGAGCCACCAAAGAGAATAAAAGAAATACAAGATTTCTAAATGACTTTTTTTCTTATATTTAGCCTTAATCAATTTAAATTAGTCATTGTAATTAGTTAAATTAGTCAGTTGTCAGAATTACATCTAAGTCTATTCAATGGACTCTGTAAATCTTGAGATTTATAAGTACTTCTGTTTGGCTGGAATCTTTCCAAGTACCTGGGTGGAAACTAAAATTCTAAAAGTTCATGAGTGGACTAGTATATATTTTTTCTCCAAGTATGAATTCAGCTTTATTTAACTATGGTGCATACATGATAAAAAATCTAACATAATTTAAGAGAATTAAGAAGCTGATGACTTGATTTTGGTAGCCTCCTTCTCTCCCTCTAGGAAGAATAGGGAATAAAGGGAAAATTCAACACTTCCCAATCCAATATCTTTCTTGCTATATGTTTTAGTTCCATGCAACAATTGCCATAGTGGGAAATAGCTGAGAAATTAGCCAGCTTTCAGGGAAAATTGGAAAGGCTGCTGCTCAGAACCGTTTCTTGTGCCTGAGAGAGTTACGTACCAGGAATGGGTAGAAGAGTCACTAAGTGAAATAAATCAGGTTAATTATTCATCAGGCTATTTAAGACACACTAGAAACCTTATGTGTACAGAGAAAACAGCACCTAGTTTTTGAGACTTACAATAACGAGACCCTGAATTGAAAGGAAGTCCCTGTGATGGCATTGTAACAGGCTGTTCTCCGGAGCCCTCTTCTGGGCAGCAGTTAAAGCAGGAGACCTGATCTTCCCACCTGATCCCACTCTGCCTTCCCTTGCCACGGGCCTGGCAGCTTCCCTGCCCAGCAAAGCGGATTCTTTTATTTCTGTGTCCTCTGAGCCAGATCATTGAGGCTCGCCGTACTGTGTTCTGTGTTCCTGTTCCACCCCTCCAGCCCGGTGTGAGGGCGGGCAGGGTTTCATAGACCAAGCCTAGGTCTGGACTGGCCAGGTAGGTGACTCATGAGGGAACGCTGCATTCTTTTGTTGGTACATTTTGGGTACATAATAATCACATTCATCAGAGGGAATTTGTTCCTGTACGTGGTACATCTTGCTTCTTTTTGTCCCGTTCACCTCCCCTCTCTTCGTCCCTTCTTCCCTTCCTTCTGAGAAATGCTTCTAGAGAAGTTACATAGCGGGAAATGCAGCCAGGGAGGTGGCGCACTCCTGTAATCCCAGCACTTGGGAGGCTGAGGTAGGAGGATCACTGCGAGTTCAAGGCCGTCCTGGGCTACAAAGTGAGGTTAAGGCTAGCCTGGAATGCACAGCAAGTCCCTGTCTCAAAACCAAACCAAACGAAACCATGTATGCTTTGGTGTGATGCAGGGCTTTTAGTTTTATGACCCCTGAAAACCTCCCATGTGGGTAAGACTTCCTGGCCAGCTTCCTGGCCGCATCTCATGGACCCTCATCCCTCTGCTTTCACGATGAACAATATGGACATTTCTTGACGCCGTGTTTCTTTCAGAACTGTTAGTAGAAATCTGTCTATAAAATTTTCCATAAGAGTCTGCCTGTGGTAAACATATGAAAACACATCTGGACGCATAAAGGCACAGATACATGAAGTATGAGCTGCAGGCCCTCAGACTGTGACGCTCACACGATCCGGCCCCGGGCCCTGGACTGTGGCCACTCACAGCCCGGCACGAGCTGAGCAGCCGGTGGCCGGACCCTGCCAGCTAACACTGCGTCTCCTGCCTGGAGAGCATAGGTCCTGGCCTGTGTGCCCCGGGGGCCAACACTGGCACTTTGTGTGGTCTGAAACTGACTGCATTCGTATCGGTGCAGAGGAGGGAGCAGAGACTCAGCTGGTAGTGCAGCATTCTTCTGTGATAGGGTTCACATGTCACTGATTAGGTCTAGAAATTCTTGACATGTAAAATCACAGGCCAGCAGGATGAAGGCCATGCTAGGATCCTAGCGCTAGCAGATTTTCGGACAGCTGTTCACCCACCCTCCAGTCAGAGTGGCTCCGGGATGGGTATTTTGTAGGTTAGGACTGGGAGAAGGGACCGTCCTGAGTGTCGTGCAGTTGCTTCACCTGGGTGACACTCAGAACAGCGCTGCCAGTCGAGTCGCTGCTCTGGAGGAGCTGTGTTTCAGGCCGTCCTGAGTCTGTCATCTGTCCTCCCTCTCTGTGAGGTGTCTCCCCGACCTCTGGGGCTCACTGTGTCTGCCAGATGCCAGGCAGGGGCGGGGATTCTCCGGGAACATGCAGTGACACGGGTCTGTGTCCAGCTCTCTGGGCACTGGGGTGGACAGATGGCGAAGAACAGCGGGGACTGTGTGGGTGACACCCAGCTCAGCGGGCTTGGTCCCCACGGTGCCCTGAGGGGAGGAAGCCCAGCCCCTCCTGCTCCTTGCAGAGAGCTGTCGCCCAGCACCCTAACAACCTCACTGGTTCAAACCCTGCATGGTCTCTCAAAGCTGGAGATTTTGGTCCTTTGAGCCACAGTTCTTGCATATGTCTTGCCTCTTTTTTTTGTTGTTAAGTGCAATGCCTAAATCTTTGTCATTATTATTTTTCATTTTCCTTAGTTTTGATGATTTATCTACTTGAAAAGCTCACGGTATGAATGCTAATCCTCCAGAACCTAAATCGTGCACTAATGTTTTGAATTTTTACGTCCTGTAGACAGAATGTGCAAATTTCATCAGAGTGCTTCAACCCTACAACAGAACTCACACCTATGTGTGTGGAACTGGAGCTTTTCATCCGCTGTGTGGCTACATTGACCTGGGAGTCTATAAGGAGGTAACACAATGAGCTGCTATGAGATACGCTACTTATTGTGACACTTCGTTACTTAATAGCTATTAGAGCATAAAACAGGCATTCGAATATAAAATGGAAACCATTTATGAGCTGCATAAAGATCCATGGTGGGAACCATTTGTGGATTAGCAGTTTTAGTACACATTTTACCCACCTAGTAAATCCTTCCTATAAAAAGTTGTTTTTATCAAGCCAATCAAAATTAGTAGCATGAAATGTTAAGTGCTTGCTTTCTGTGGATTCTATGCATAACTTTATCTTTACTTGAGTTTCCTTTATAACTAAATGTGTATAGTTATGCTGCTATTGGTAAACATCCATTTTCCATTAGATTTTGCCGTGGAACTGTGTCATAAATAATGTTATTTTTCCATTCTGCTACAAAGTTGGCTGGCTAAGTGTGTTTCTGGCAGTTGGCATGAGGAAAGGGCGTGCTAATGATCTTCCTGAATGTAGATGGTCACCGTCACAGGGGACTCTTTGTTTCTGCTGAAGCAAATTCTCATAGTGGACATTAAACATGTGATAATTAGGATGAGTCCATCCCAGATGTCAGGAGCACCTGGAGAGGGGAGGCACACACTAGCAGGGAGCAGGAGCACCTGCATGTGATCCACGCCCTGCACTGTGCCTTTGCTCGGGCATCCTCCCCGTGTCCCCTGTGCATAGACCTGTGCTTCCTGTGACTGACCACGTCTTGCAGCACAGCACCTGGATTTGACTGATTTTTACAAAGACCAAGCCCACAACTGGGGCTCCATAGATCCTGCTCCCATAGCCAACCTGCCCAGCCAGCACAGGCTGAAACATTTGAAAACCAAGCAGCCCTCATGTTAAATCTCTGAACCACGGAGACTGGGTAGCTGATTCCGTCCTTCTTCCTTGCTGGTGTCGTCTTCTCCCAGAGCTTTGATGAGGGTGGCATATGTCAGGAGCTCCCAGCACAGAGTGCACTCGTGAGGTGGCCCCAGAGCCCGGGCTAAAGGCCAAACACACAGCCCGCCAGGGGAGCCAGCAGTGTCCTCTGACTCCCTAAGTACAGAAAGGGAATTTAGACGGTGCTAATTGCTTTGCCTGGGGCAGTCAAATTTACGTTTTATGAGTAAGAGAGTGGTGAGCCTCCGGGAGGCGGATGCGGACCTGGCTGTGTTGCAGAGGTCTGGAGCACCGTGACTGAGCAGCAGGATCTACCGCAAGATGGGTGACTTTAAAATGACCCTGGTTCCCGGAGGCCTTAGTCCTTCTAGAGCACCTGGAAGGGTTTCTGGCACACCCAGGACTGCTGCCTGAGGAGAGGAGGAGGAGGGAACAGAGACGACCCAGAGCAGGCGAGGAGCAGAGGCGCAGGAGGCAGAGGAGGGATGAGCCCTTTCTGGGGAAGGGGACTGGGGAACTGCGCCTCAGAGCGTCCGACTGTCAGGCTCGGGCAGCCCAACGCCCCGGGTCTGGGGTTCCAGAGGAAATCCAGGGGGATGGAGGTGGAAGCAAGACCGGTCCTTCACGGCTGCAGGTCCTGAAGAGCTGCAGAGGCTCTCTGGGACTTGTGATTACTCGGGAAAATGACGAAAATGATGCGACAGTGTGTGAGAGCCATGCTCAGGACTTCATTCACTTCAGTGTGAGGCTCGCATGTCCCAGACGTTCACATGCACTCGTTAGTAGACAGCAGGGCACAGAAGGCAAGGAGGCTTGGATTTCAGTGTCACACACATGCACGGACACACGCGCGTGCACAGACAGGAACACAGATAGCGCTGATGCGCTCACTACTGCGGGGCCTGTCATGTTCCGTCACTGGGTTGGAAGGGGGTCTTTGCTCTGCCCCACTCCGCGGCCACACCCCATGTTTAGTGGGGGATGATTCTGACGGCAACTCAGCCTCGTTCTGATGACTGCGTATTTTCTTGCTGCCTCTTTCACCAGCCGACCTCTGCACCTCTCTAATAACTTCAGTTTTTGCGGCTCAGTCTGGGGCCTTTTGTTGAATTGATCTAATTGGGCCCGAGGCATTCCGAGGGGCCACTCTGAGGAAACTGAAGTCTCGTGGTATAGGTGGCAGGGGTGTGCTGGAGTCACCCCGCTCGTGGCTGCGGGGCTGGTGTGGGTGACTGCTCCAGAATCAGGCCGCCTACTCTGCCCTTCTGGAGAGGACCCTGTGCTCAAGACCTGTAGATGCCAGTGGCACGGGGTTAAGCAGTCCCGTCACAGCCTCCCAGACCCCGTCTCGTGTCCCAAGGTCAGTCTCGAGGTGCCGGACGCAGTCCCCTTTTCCCTTTGCAGCGTCCCATGACAGACCTTAGAGTCCATGGCTCTGCTTTTTCTGTGGAGAATAATGTGTGCTTAGCAGCCTGAAGATATCCTTCGGAACCACCGTCTACGGTGCTTCTCAACACCTCTCTGTCCTGGCTGCGCTGGGAAGTTGCCCCAGATGTGCTGCTGCTCTCTCTCTCTGCCTCAGGTTCTTCACCCACTTTTCTGAGCTGTTCAAACTGAGGCACTGGATTCAGCCCTGTCATGCGGTCACACGGAGCCTCTAAATTGGTTTTTAAATCTATGCCTTGCTTTGAAATTCTGAGACCAAATTAGTTAAGAGCATCAAATGAGAGACAGCCTGAGTTTAGGCTCCCACTTTGCCATTCCTAGCACTGGTCACCAGCCCTGATCACTAGCCCTGTTCTCAGCACTGATCCTTTCTATTCCTGAGGCCACATTTGCAGGGCTGGGATTCTTAAAACAGCTACACCTCGAGGCCCAGGTGAGAATTCAGTGAGGTGAGGCACCTGGTTGCCACACCTGAGGTCGTACCCTCTGACACCCAACAGGCAGACCTTACTCCTAGCGTCCAAGTGTGCATTTGACATCAAGGATGGCTTCTCCTAACCCAGCCTTCAATAACTCACTGTTCTTTAGAGGGGCAGTGGGAATAGAGTGAGATCTCAGATAACACCGGGATGTAACAGGTGACCCCAAGACCTCTGCCATAGAGCTGTGCAGCTGCTTGACCATCTAGACAGAGTTCCCAAAATGCTGACTTTCTCTGAACATGCATGGTGAGCCAGCCGCCTTTGGTGGGATGGCAGTGTCATCGCTGTTTCAAAACACTCAGTGCCTGGGGCTACATTTATTATGCATTCCTGTTTTTCTTGGAAATTTCAACTGAAGATGTTATTTTTTCCTGAATATTAAAAGTCTGCCAATGTCATTCTGTCTGTGGCCACTATTATAAAAATAGATGTTTGAGCCAAAATAACTATGCGGCTTTAATGTGTACAGTATTTTCCTAATAGTGAAACTACTACAACAGAGCACTTTTATTGCCCACATATATCAGCAGCTCTGGGGATTAACTGCCTGACTTAGAACACTTTCATGTCTTTATGATAAAAACAAAGCCATGGGGGTTAAGCAGTCCGCCGTAGCTGCAGATGTTTAGTTATACAAGTCACAACCATTATCCGGAAAGCATAAATATTGCAGTAAATGTATTCCTTAGAAGGAAGGTTGGTTCTATTCGGCTCAGGGACTTAGTTCCTCCACATGGAAGGCAAGTGCTCGGTGAGACCTTGAGGTGGCTGCTGGCTTTGGGGTGAGGAGAGCAGCGCTGGGCCGCATCTCCCAGGCCCAGGGTGGTGAAAGCACTGAGCAGCAGCCCAAGGCTCATGCTGCATGTGCTTGGGCTCCACTGACTTCCTGACCCGGAATCGAGCCTCTGTCATCTGTGTTTGTGCAGATTTGGTAATGCTGACACTCTTCCGTGTTACAATTTCTCCTGACAGGAAGTCACATTCAAACTGGACACGCACCACCTGGAGTCGGGCAGGCTGAAGTGTCCCTTTGACCCGCAGCAGGCCTTTGCTTCTGTGATGACAGGTAAGTCCGGGACCCTCAGTCTCACCTTTGGACAGATGTGTGTCCGCATCTTCCGGTGGAGCTGGAGGCAACTCTAGTGACTCTTTCGCATCACGTGGCACCAGGAGGGTCACCCAGGGCTCCCCGTCCAGAGCCCTCCTCAGTGAAGCCAGGCCCAGCACTGCTTCCCAGATGAAGTCCTGATCAGTTTCTTTTTCATCCAAATGATCTCACTCATTTCCTAATTTCCGCTCAGATGTCTGGGGTTTTCTTATACTGAACTCTGCCTATGTGGCTCATGGTGAAAGTTACACATGACAGTTCTGTAAGTAAATAAATCAGCAAACAAATTGAATGAGGCCAGAGAGCACAGATCTGGGATGATCTGGGCCCCCAACTTCACTGCTGTATCGAGGAGATGTGCAATTTCTGCGAGCGCGGAGTCTTCTCGCAGTTTGTACACATCTTTTTCAAAACTGTATTTGTTTTCTGTCAGTGCGAGCGTGCAGAACCTTTACATTGTTTTCTTTTGTCACGGGGTCAGGACATAGGCACATACCTCTTAATCTCTTTTTGTCCTCTTCCCCTCCTACCCCCCACTGCCTCCAGCTTGTGTTCGTTCCCATTGCCAAGGCTCTATTTCCACTTTTCTTCAATTCCTTCTTTAAAAAAAATTCCCTTGTGCATACCTTAAATTCCAGTACAACAGGATCCTGTGCAGTGGAGCTGCGCTGTGTGGTCGGAGCTCTCTAAGAATGTGGGCAGAGCTCCCGGAGCGCAGCCGTCCCAAGAACCTTTTGTCCCTGGCCCTGACTTCAGTCTCTCTTTATGTAACTTGTCTATCAAATGCTTGAAAAGGTGCCAGGAGTGAGCCACTGTGCCATTGTAATTTTCACTCAGTGAACACCAGAGATCTTGCTTTGAAGTGAAAGCCTGTGTGTCTCTGTGTGTTTTTAAAATTATACGGCTCATGTTCTTTCTTTCTCAGTAAACCAAATAGATGGTTTGTGAGTCTCATCCGTCAAAGGCGTTGACACGCTCTTCATAAAGAGACAAAGGGCTGTGGGCTTTGGATGCGCTGAGGAATCCCAAAGTAATCTTAGGTACAAAGAAGACCATTTTAAAAGCTGGGTAGTAGACACAGTTAGTTTGGAACTTTTTTTTTTTTTTCTGATGACACATTTGAGTATTTGGGATTTGGGATTTTGTGTATTTTGAAATGATGGTCTGCTTCTTTTTGTTCTCACCAAACTTCCTGAGAATGCTTCAAAGCGGCAATGCTGATCTATTTTAAAAACTTACTTCCCGGTAGAATCCTGACATTTACCCAGTGTGCTTTGGAGAAGCATCTGGGGTGGAGGCCGGGCTGTGTCCACACCCACTTCCCGCAGCTGATCTCTCCATGTGGTGCAGCGCTTCCGTGAGAAGTCGCTGCCTCTCGTTTTGGATGCAGTTCTTCCCCGGAGTTCAGGGAAAAGCTGAGAGAGAGACATCGTCAGAGCACTCACTTCTCTTATAAGGCATATGCAAATTTCAGTGATAGAACAATATTTTTATTTTCCCATGTAAACATTAAAGAAAGGCAAATGCTCTGGAGAGATCGGCTGTTCTCTTATTAATGGAGCCCAGCATAGTGGGCTGTAAAAGTCTCTTGCGGTAACAAAGACTTCGGTGCTACTGTCCGCTCCAGTCTCCCCTGCGCCCCTGCTCTGCCAGCCCCGGGGCTCACCTGCCTCCCCAGCCTGGTCTCCCCTCGCTCCCCTTCCTCCCACCCTCACTGCCCGCCCCTCGTTTCTCTCCCACCTGTCCTCTCCTTTCGCTCGCCCGGTCTCCCTCCGCTCTCTCCTCTTCCTCCCCTAATCCTCTCCCTGGTGCACCCCGGATGCACACTGCACATGACGACAGGACCAGGACGGAGCACCTCGGTCCGCAGAGCCCACCCTCCTGTCCCGGCGTGTCAGTGCACCAGTCCCAGGAAGGATTCCCAGCTTCGAGCTCCGTCCCGGCTCAGGGGGAAGAAAAGTTCGGCTTACGGGGTGGTGTTGGGGAAGCACCCATGAGGCCGCCATTCCTCACTGCGCCGCTTAACGCCTCACAGTGTGCGGTGCCGACAGAGAGCTTTCCAGCGTGGTATTTCTCTGAATCGTGTGTGGTGAGGAGGGAGAGAGGGGCGCTCATTCCGAGAGAGCAGATGCGTGTGCGGTCATTTCTCGGGAGCCTCTGGCCTTTGTGTCCTAGCAGCTGGCACCAGCTTGCCAGAGTTATTTGCCTTTCTTCACCCAAGTTTAGTTTTCCAAATCGCAAAGCGAAATCCACGAAGCAGAGAGTTCTGGCATCGAGCGCCCGTTCTCTGGGTCGGGGTGGAGCAGCCCGGGAAGCGCGTCTAAGCGTGTCCTTCTCCGCAGATGAGCACCTCTACTCGGGAACGGTGTCTGACTTCCTGGGCAAAGACACGGCGTTCACGCGGTCCCTGGGCCCGGCGCAGGACTACTACATCCGCACGGACATTTCCGAGCACCTCTGGCTCAGCGGTGAGTCTGTCCTCCTCCTAACGTCGTCGGGGCCACTGTTGCAGGCGAGCCCATGGGAGCCCGGGGCAGGTGGCCGGGCACAGCGCTGCGAGCTGCGTCTGAAGGGCCTCATGTTGGGCCGGACAGACCAGAAGCGCCCTGAGCTCTGCTGTGCCCTCAGCACTGTGCTGCACCGAGAGATGGTGGCAATGTTTAAGGGGCGCGTGAGCTATGTGTTTACTGCATGGTCTGTAAAGACGAGCACTCGCCCTGAGAGGTCTCAGTGACACAGCCGAACGCCGCTTCAGCTCCACGGTATACTGCAGTGCTGACTCCTTCCTCACACACACCTTCACCTGTCACTGATACATGATGTTGCTCATTTTTATCTTAATCAGCACATAAGAATTGTACATACTTGGGCTACAGCGTGAAATTTTAATGTATAGAACACACTGATCAAATCAGGGTTGACCAAGTCTGAGTATTTAGCATTTATCCTCATTAGTTTGTGATATACATATGTGTGATGATGATGACTTTATTTTGATAAAATGTACGGTGGGTGAGGACACATCCCTCCAAAATTATAAGCATGCTGTCATTGACATAGATATGTCTAATTTCTACTTTATTCAGGGGTCCTATTGCATTTTGGGTGTTCAAAGAAACACAAATTTATTTAAATGATTCAGAACGGAACGTAAGGCTTTCGTTTTCACCCCACACACTTCCACCAGGCCGATATCATTCTGATTCTGTAGACCTCAGGGGCTGAGCTGAGGGCAGACCTGAAGCCAGCTCAGAGCCTCTGTCACCTCCTCGGCCCCCTTGATGATGCCCGGCTTCTCCCTGTCCTCACGGGGCTTCCCGTGCCAGTGTGGATGCCACAATCCCAGTCAGCCCTGTGACTGAATGGCTGTGCAGATGTCTATTTCTGTCTTCCATTCCATCACAAATTAGAAGGGAGAAGGCGCATAGAAGTTCTTCCTAGGAGTGAAGGTATCCATGCCTTACTTGGACTGTGGCGCCGTGGGGTTTGACTGGTTCTTCAGTGACCCTTGGGTTTAATTTGACCTGAAATGCAAAACCCAAGGCTAAACTTTTTATGTCTTTTTGGTCATTGTGACCTGCCCTTCTGTGCCAATTTCCCGGCATTCAGCTTTCTGGACTCCCAAAGCTGGTCACCTTGGGCTTATCTCCCAGCCCCTCCTCTGTGGCCCTTATCTAATCTCCAGCAAGGAGAGGCTTCCTTCTGAGCCCACACTGGCCTTGCTCCTTCCAGCACCGTCACCTAGAGCCCTCTGCCTCCTCCCTGGTCCCTGCCCAAGTTTACTGTTCACTAACTGCCTGCCCTGCTCCTGTCTAATCCCCTCCAAACATACCCTGGACCCCTGCAGCCCTGTGAGATCTGCTCGGGTACTGGCACAGCCTTGGGGCTACTGTTTGCCCACCACACCTGTGAGGCTATAGGAGATGGTGCACAGCCATCCTGCCTGAACAGATGGGAACTGGGCCAGCTCCAGATGCGGTGACCCGGGGTGCCCTGCAGGCCAGCCCTGTCTGTCTGTGCTCTATGGCATGGCCCTCTTCAGAATCCATAGACACACAGGCCCACACCTACCATGGGTGGGCCAGAGCTCGCTCCCTGAGGGTCAGAAGGCAGAGAAAGCAAGGTCCTCACATTTTCCCAGAGAGAAGCAACCAGAGTGGAGGAAGAGGCCGGGCAGGCGGGCAGAGTGTGGGAGGAAGTCAGAGATGGTGCTGAGGCCCCAAAACGAGGGGGACCCAGCTGGGGTGCCCCTGTGTAGAAAATGAGAAGTTGGCCTGGGCCTGGGTCCCCACTGGCTCTGGGCCTGACAGAAGAAGAGAGTGCAGACGCTGTCCTGGATGCCATCTCGTTGGCCTCATGTTTTACACCAAGCAGTGGACCCTGGGGCAGGGATGTCTTCGTCTGCTGGTTGCCAGCCTGGCCTTCCCTTAGCATCCTGTGCTTCCTCAGAGCCCGGAAGCGGGTGTTTCTGGGGTGGACCCATGACTGTGTGCTCACCAATGCGGGTGCTCGGTCCATGGCTGCCATCCCAGTCTGGCGACACCACGCCTGTGTGGTGCCTGCCTTAATTAATGAAGATCAACACACTCACGTTGCCTTCCTCCGCCTCGCTGGCCACGTCCGAGCTCTCCTTAGCCTTGTAGCCTGGGGATGCCGTATCGGCTCCTAGAGAGGGAGTGCTTCCCTTGGTGAAGAGCTTCCTCCTGCGCCAGCAGACACTGTGCTCAGTGCTGCAGCCCTCTGGAGAGCCCTGTCCACTGTCCACAAAGCACGCGGGCGTGGACGTTGCCCTTCAGTTCCGTGGGCCACTGCCGGGTGAGAGAAGTGAGGGCCAGTGTAGTTCACGGTCTGTGTCCCGTTTCCTTTCTCTTATGTATTATCACATCGGTGAACCCTCCGTTTCTGGTCAGACATGTACAGTATTCTTTTGTTAAATTTTGCTTTTCTTTTCAGATTTAATTCCTACCTAGTATTTGCTTGTGACCCCCAGAACTCTTATCAGGAGATGGAGATGTCATGAACGGAAGATGCCGTTGAGCATACTAACTCTTAGGGTGCAGATTCTGAGGAAGCATGCACCTTTAAAGCGATGCTGCACCCATCTTCCAAAGTGCAGTTCAGTCCCGGGGCCTCCTGGGGCGCTGAGAACCCTGAGTGCTCCGTGGCCACTCCGGATTCTGGGTCCCTCCTGGACAGCCCAGCGACACCCAGCCCCTCCCCTCCTCTGTGCTGCTCATTCAGTCCTGAGCTCTCACTTCCCTGCGGTGTGAACCCCTACGGAGCGCGGGCAGGGTCACTACTTTGACGCGCTCCACCTCCAGTGACGCCAGATGGTGGCTGGGCGATTCCGCGCTCTTCTTCACCAGCTTGGGCTCAGATGCCGTGAAGGACCAGGGTGATCGCTCAGACACGACGCGGTTTCGTTAGAATTGTAGGGTAACACTAAGGAATGGGACCACTTGGAAAATCAAAGCTAACGACGACGCCTCACTTGCATATGTTTTTGTTTTCTTTCTGGAGTAGATGGGGCTTTTGTTTCAGATTTTGTTTTTAACATATGGAGGTAGTTTGCACTTGAAGTTTCCATCGGGGTGATCTGTGATGTGTACATTCTCCCACATAAAGATGCGGATTCTCTTTAAAATAACAGGGAACTGAAATTATGGGGAGAAGGAAAGCAGCCAGCAGCTCTGCTACAGGTGGAGCGGGCGCTCGTCCTCTGGGGTGGCGGCGACGCTCTGAGAGCATCTGTGCTGTGCGTGACCTGAGTGCGCCGTTCTGGGCCCGTGTTTCAGACGCCGGAGGGAGCGCGGCGCCCTAATGAAGCCCATGTGTCCGCTGGTACAGTTTCAATTTGTTTGACTCAACAACTAAGCACTCATGAAGTGATAACTATTTTTACCCTCGCCTGGCAGCCAGTCAGGAAAGAGCCTATCACAAACGCTCACGTCAGGGTTCTGAGACAAGACCCCAGTGTCATCTGCAAGAAAGAAACTTTGTATTCTCAAAGCGTGCATTTATTTTTAACTTATAAATGTGCTAATGATTTAAGTCACAGAACAGTTGAGTCTGATACTCTTTTTTCCATAATTAGATTTCTTCATATAATAAACATTTGGCTTCACCGTGCGCAGCGCGCTTTCCAGAGCAGTTGTTTCACAAGACTTGTAAAAGAACCAGCGTTTCAGGGAAAGAGAGCTTGGTGCAATCAGTGGTGACTGGATAAACAGGAAATGATTGGTGTCTGTGCTCCGGGTTGGTTGGGAGTTGAGAGGCGGCTCTTGGAAGGCCATCCTGCACTCTCTGTCCGTCCCGCGGTCACAGCGCGTCTCCGGAAGGTGGACTGGGTCACTTGCGCCTTCCCATGCCCCTGGTCTCCTGGCTCACCCAGCGTGCTGCTCCTCCCTGCAGGGGATCTGCCACGCCCTTGGATGCCAGTCCGCTGGAGGGCCTGTTTCCCACAGGAGCCCGGGGGCCCGGTGCAGTCAGGTGCAGTCCGATCAACTGGCAGATGCCTGTGGCCCTGCGGCTTCTGGGGCACTCCACGTCCACAACACGGAGAGAGAGGCTGAGTAATGAGGGGCCACTGTGTCGTTTCTGAAAGGACAAACATGGGCCTGTCAGTGCGGTCCGCGGGGCGCTGTGTGACTGCCGCCGGCCTTGCACTGAGGTGCAGGAGGGATCCTCCGTGTGTCAGTGCCCACTTCAGGTCAAACGTTTGTCAAGATGAGGGAAACCCATCACATCCCTAGTTTCCGCATGATTTTGCTCTCGCCCGTCTCCCTCTGGCTGCTCACGAATCCTGTTTCCTCTTGGTCCCTCACGTCCCTCGTCCACCCAAGTGTCTGTGACATTGATCATGGCTGAAGAGGCAGCCACACCCTCTGCCCGAAAGGGGAAGGGCCGTCGTTGCTTCTGAGACTGGCTCCTGCCCTGCAGCCCAGGCTGGCCTCGAACTCACTGTGTAGCCAGGACCAGCCTCGAACTCGCTACGATCCTCCTGCCTCAGCTCCCCGGTGTGGGATCACAGGCGTGCACTTTTACGTTATCTTCTACTCCATTCCAAGGCTGGGACGTTAGGAGGGGGAGGCCGCGTCGGAGTTTCACCTGGAGGGGAGGGGGATAGGAAGAACGAAGGGAAGAAGCCTCCTGCACTTGCCTCGCTCCTCTCCCTTCCTCCACAGCCTCCCATGGGGCGCAAGGACTGGGCCACCAGTCCCGAGGACCCACAGGAGCCTGGTCTGCGGCCTGCTGTGCGGCGCCCCTGCCTGGGCTCTGACCTCCCTGTGCACGGGGGTGGCGGGGGCACTCCCGCAGTCACAGCCCCACAGGGCCTCGCACAGGGCAGCGCTGAGGGCCTCACACCCCACCAGTTCCCCCTGTGAAGCTCTCTGCATCTGCGTCCTAAACCGGAGCGCCACGGTGCTGGCCCTTGCTACCTGCACCTTTGCCCTCACATCCCGTCCTCACTCACAGCAGCCCCGTCTCTGTCATTAACGCTTTAATCAAGAGATCACTTCGGACTCGTACCAGCCACGTCCAAGTCCACAGCTCTACAAAACCAAGACTTTGGTCCTCAACAGGGGCTCAGGCAGATTCATTTGGCACTGACCGGCCGAGGGAGATTTCGCACTGGAAATGTTTGCATCCATTTACCTGCGTATATTATGGCTGACTTTCCATTAGTAGCCATGCTGTTCTCAGAAGCACGCATTGTGCTCAGTTCTCTGGCAGCCCCATGATTACGGTGAAGACAGTGTTGAGGGCAGGCATCGCTGTCATGAGCCCAGTGATAAGTCTCGCCCTTCGGATGCTCCCGAGAGGCTCATGCCTATGTGGACCAGCTCGTCTGCTCCCATCTCAGGGGTTCTACCAGGGCCACGACATGGAGAGAACACAGTATGCATCCCGTAGTCACAACCTGGAGAGCACACGAGTCTGAGCTCATGTGTACAGGAAGTGGCAGAGACAAGTTAGAAATCCAGAAGAGAGTTAACTGCAGATGACCCACGCACTCCTGTATGTTTCATTTATTTGCTCCTTGGGCAGTTTTACAAAGTGCAGCAAAGAAAATTTATATACAACTTTAGAATATATGTATATTTCTTTCCCTAAGCTCTTTATAAAAGGCCGCAAGGAGGATGAGGCAGGAGGATTACCACAAGTTCAAGGCCAGCCTGAACTATGCAGAGGGCATAAGGTATAATTCCAGATTTGAAGAGACTTTCAGGTACAGCAGGTGCATAACATTCTGGCCAACACCTGCCTCCCACCACACACACCGCAGTCTATACCACCATGGCCCCGCGAGGTGAGGTCACCCCGGGCCATCACGCTACCATTATCTGTGAGACGTGGTGAAGCCTCAGATGCCTGTTCCCAGCACGCTGGCTCAGTGCATGGCCATGGTTCAGAGCAGCTGTGCTGACCCTGAGGACAGAGCAGTCAGTCTCCCTGGCCTCCCGGACCCCTAGGATCCGCTGGTACCCTTCGTGTTCCTTTATCTTCACTTCTGTCTCCCACAGTGAACTCTTTTTACTCTACTCCCCACGGTCTGCATTTGAAAGGCACCGGTACTGTTACAGCCCGATTGTTTTGGTGTTTTGATTCATTGCTTTTTCCTTTCCAACAGGAGCAAAGTTTATTGGAACTTTCCCCATACCGGACACCTACAATCCAGATGATGACAAAATATATTTCTTCTTTCGTGAATCATCTCAAGAAGGCAGCACTTCTGACAAGACCATCCTTTCCAGAGTTGGGAGAGTTTGTAAGGCAAGACATTTTTACTTATTGTACTTCAGGCACATATATATGTGAATATATACAAATATCTATATATATATATATATCTATATATATATATATAGATATATATATATATACCGTGTGTGTCATACATATGAAACATTTAACTATGCAGTGTTGAAAGACAAACAGCTCACTTTCAAATTTGTAAGACAGTCACACTATCATATATGTGTAATTTTTGAGATCCAGGAGTAAAAAGAGGGTTTTAAAAAGAAGGATTGTGATTTTCAAACGTGCAGATGTTTCCCAGCCTGGGCACAGGGCTCTGAGTCCCGCTCTGGCCACTCATCCCTTTACTGCAGGTCCCCGCACCAGGTGGGCACCTCAGTCCCTAGTGAGGTCACCACAATGTCCACAGCCAGGGGACTAAAGAGTTTTATGTAGTTTTAAATAATTGTATTTAAAACTGAAGCAACTTCATGTAACCACCAAGTAACCTAAACACCAGCAAAGTCTCATCCTGTGTTTTTATCAAAATCCTGCTGTCACCCGTGAAATTCTGTATTTTACAGGGACCGAATGAATTTAAAATATGGCCATATATTTTAGCATATTAAATACTTTGTAGACCACTTATGTGCATTGGGTTCTGAGAGAAAATGAAGAAAGGAAGATACATGAAAACAGAAAACCTTTATTTTGGAAAACACTGCGATTAGTTTTGAACAGAGACATTTTATATAAATTATAGATAAACACGGGAGCCCAGTGAGCCTTTCCCCTTAGTGCGTCAGACTCCTATGTGATCAAATATGAGCTTTAAAGAACAGTGATGCTACTGCAGTACAACTTTGGATCCGGGGACGTTGTTTCCTGCTCGGATTTGCACTCCTGAGTCTGAAGGGGCCAGACGTTCCCCTTCACCTTCACGCAGCCACTGGGGCCAGAGCTGTTCAGCTAATAAACACTCTCGGCAGGAGGCTCGCTGTCTTGTGCAGGCTCCTGTCTTCCACAAGCCTGTCACTCTCTCCTCAGACTGTGCCGGGCTCCCGCACCCTTCCCTCCCAGAAACGCAAGCCATCGCGGGCTGAGACACTCGTGCAGACACGGCTTCCCAGCCACCTTGTGAGGGAGCCAAGCTGCCCTCCCTGGAACCCTGGCCAGTGATGCCCCTGCTCCAGCTCTCCCAGGCATCCTCCCTGCAGTCTGAGGGGAGCAGCAGTTCCCCCGGGGTCTCTCCTGGGCAGAGGCTGGTGTGGCACAGCCTCCAGTCAGAGCATCGGCACCCTCATGCCCATGGCAAAGAGGTCCGAAAGGCTTCCGGTCAACTGAGTGAATCCCAGGCCAGTCACAGCACCCGCCTGGCTCATTCCTGACCGTTCTGACTAGACAGCGAGTCAAACGCTTTTCTCCCAGCACAAGTGTAATCTTAAAGGTAGGGAGATAGTTTGGAGTGCGGCTGAGTCTTTGCTGACTGCCTGTACGAGAGCATCCCTGGACCCTGAGCACCAGCCATGGGAGGTTTATTTCCGAGATGAACAAACTCTTACAGAGCTGAAAGGGCAAAGAAAACTGCAGTGAGTGAGTCTCCTCTGCTCAGAAACAGTCTGAGACCACGCAGAAAGATCTGGTCGCGCTGCTTTTCTTGTTAAGAAATCAGTAATCTGTGAGATCAAATAAGAACACATGACAGGGCAATTTGCAGAAGAGTCGAGACTCCTCTCTCCTTCGTGTGTTTACTGGATGCCTCCATGTGGGGAGCAGCATCTTGGGAGCAGGGCCCCTCGGCCTGAGGCTTATGACGTTTGGTTTTAATTGCCTTCATCCGGGGCTTCTCAGTGACAGCACAGCCAGCCCATGCTTCCAAGTTTACTTAATAATTTAGGGTTAAATTTTGTAAAAACTGAGCACTTCTAAGTGGTAATATGAAATGAAATCTCTATGTATATAGACACAGATGTGCATCACGAAATGATAATACAGTTAATAATGATTTGAAAAGTTCACAATCTCTGCTGTGGCTGTGCATTATCTTTTCATGCAAAGGCTTCTCTGACATTATCTGGAAATTATTCCTTTCTGTAATTTCTCTCTTTTTACCACCAAATGTCTCTGTGACATTATTTACTGTTTTGGAAAAGTAATGACAGAATGCATGTCTATGTTATGAAGAAAAGTTGAGCTTGGCAGTTAAAAGAAATTACTGCAGGCAGAAGAGATCACTTAGAGACTGAGTGGCCCACATACCCCCACAAGTTTACCAAGCTCCTTTCCTAATGTGGAGTCCTTTATGTTACTGGTTCACGCCTTTTCTACCCTGTGCTTATCTGCAAATATTCAGGCTTAGTCCTTCTTGTCATTGTTTGCTCTCATTTTGAGCTGAATACTTAGGCTCAGTGAAAGAAATGCTTACAGTTTAAGAGCTCTCTGCTCCTTCAGCCACTAAGCTAAAAAAAAAAATGTTGTGTTGATCTGTGAAAAAATTTGTATTTTTTAGATCCACCAAAGCCATTTTTAGGCTGAATACACCCTAGTGTTTGGTTGAGAGGAGGTTGTAGTGATAGGCAGACAGCACACACAAAAATGAGCAAGCAAATGTAATTCATTCATTATCTCAACAGCAGCAACAGTATGAAATAACTTCTGTGTAAAATGTATTGCCCTGGACAATTAGTGGGGATAATAAGCCTCAGTGTTTTTTCTCTGAAACCTGGTACAGTGAGGGTAGTAGATGTATGCACAATGTGGTCAGAATATATAGTGAATGTTTAAGTTTTTAAAAATTATAGAAGTAGAAGTCACATTGTCATTAATCCCCCTCAAAGTACTCCCCGCTGTTTCCAAGAAACCACACTTGTCCCATTGTCCTTGCTGCTTTCTGAAGCAGCTCTGCAGTCCTCTCTCATGAGTGCCTCTGTGAAGTGAGATCAGAAACCCAGTGACTGCTGCTGCTGAGCACCATCCAACAGAAAGGCAGCTCCTCAAAACACGGCAGTGTCCTCATCATCTCACCAGGATCTGACACGTGTGACTTCCGGCTCTCCCCAAAAGGCAAAGTGGCCACGAAAGGGAAACGTTTTGAACTGATTCTGAGCATCACAACAGCCATAAACAGTACGCCTGAGAGAACTCAGAAAAGAGGGCCCCAGAGCGCTCTCAGTCAGTGGCAGGAATGACGGGATACATGAGTTCAGAGGGGAGAGGGTATCTTTTGAGGGATCGATGGCAATATGTCTTTTACTGTAGTACATTAAAAATGTGGACATTCGCCCCCGCCTCGACTGCCCCTTGTAAATGAGTAATCCCAGCACAGTGCTGCAGAAGCCTGAGCTGTAAGCCTCCAGTGGGGCCCAGAGCATTGTGGGAAGGGAGACTTGCTCAGACAGGGCAGGGCCATGTTCCACACCTGCATGGAGCACTTGCATCACCTGGGCTGCATCAAGAGGCGGGTTTTGCTCACAGAACATGAAATCTCCTCACTGTAGGTGGAGGGCAGTGTGGGGAGTGATACCTTCTGATGCTGCAGTGGTGAACTGCGTGATTAAGGAGCCTCTTTCCATGCAACAACTCCAATCTTGCAGCAAATGAGGAGGGATTCAATGTTTGAGGCCGAGAGGCAAGAAGATGGGTAGATGTATTTGGGAACGACTTGAAGAATGTAACAGAATTGAGAAATACTCGTGACCAGGACCAAAGCCAATAGGAATAGGGAGATAAAGTGAAGTCCCAAGATTTTCCAGCAGGGCGTATGTATTTGCAGGTCTCTGGATGGTCTTCCCTTGCCATTCTTTGGTTGGTTCATTGTGGAGACCTCTTGCACTATCTGGTGGTGCATCAGAGATGAGGGCCATCATCTCTGGGAACCCAACACATCAGCAGGTGACCGCTGGTGTTGTATTGTGGGCCACCGCCTGAGGAGCTGGACCTTCAGTGCCTTCTGCAACCCCCGTGCTTCTAGCCAGGAGGGCAAAGGTACCTAGGAGACAAGAGCGCCCACATTCCTGGGAGCTGTGCATCCTATAAGGTGTGGGCTAGGGAAATGTACAGAACAGCACGTCCTGAGGGGAGACAGGAGTGCCACAGTTTAGGGACTTAGGGTTATGTCTAGCACGAGTTTGGTGCAGCTTTAGGGTGTCCTGGCACATGGGATGGGCGACTTGACATAGAAGTCGAGGCTTGGGTGTGTCGTGAATCTGGAAATCACCTTTATCTTGACATCATGGCAGGGTCAGAAATCGGTCAGGAAACTTTGTCATAGGAGATCAGAGGTGAGGATATAACCCTGAGGGACCGTGACGTTACGAAAGAGGAAAGATCTCACGGGGAAATGGTTTGACAGCGAAGCAGCGCCTGGGAGGCAGTGCTGTGACAGTTGAAGGCCATGTGGAGAGGCAGTGGTGCTGCAAGGCAGCACAGAGACTGGGCAGTTTTGAATCAGCTTCGGTGTCAGGCTCACCAGTAAGAGGCCGTCACGGAGAAGCTTGCTAACGGTACAAACACTCAACCTGAAACCTGATGCAGGCTTGCTTGCTTCTCCTACTGCATTTCTCGCTCTCCTGGCTTATTAACCTTGAAGTTGAGGATCCCCTCTCATTGTGATTATTTATGAGAGCGCAGGAATGTGTCTGTGACCGATGCTCAGGAAGGGGTGGAGAGCCAGGGCCTTCGACCCCTGCGTTTCAGCTTCTAACCATGTATTCCGAAGAACGTGAACACATGGTCATGCCACAGTGAGCTAAGGGATGAGAACCGCGCACACACACACACACACACACACACACACACACACACCGTGCACACTGCACAGTGTCCTTGACAGTGATTAGCAATGGGAGAGACGGTGGCCTGGGCTGACAGAGGTGTCAGTGACAGTGAGTTGCCAAGGGTTACCGGGGAGAGATGACATTCTATTGGCTTGGAAGGTTGAAATTACCATTCTCATGTTGCCTTCATTTCTGAAAATATTTGTAGTTTTGAGAACTGTCGGATCTTATTTCTGCATATAGCCAGTACCTGGTGAGAAT